TGAAATATGAGGTGTCGAGTTAGCTATCTTGGTTGGATGATGAATGAAGATTAATAAAATGGGTGGACTGGCTTTTGTGTCTTCTTTCTTGAACTTTTCAATCAGTTTGTGATGATAGTCACAGAATCCACAATTATCTTCAATGTACAGTTCATACAGTAGTTTAGTGTAAACATCAAGGTCTTTTCTAGGACAATATTTCTCAACATAGGGGGCACTGCGTATAGAGGGACAAATCCCGACCTGTATCTGACAGACACTCCGCTTGCCTGTCTGGGGATGCTCGGCAATAGACAACTAGTGTGACCATTGCTTAAACTATCTTTGCGCATGTTTGTCATGAAGTATCGACTAGTACTCATCCTTCTTATAAAAATGCATCCAACTTTTAATGTACTGCGGTTTTAATTTTAATTCTATGCGTCATACTTTAGATCTATACTCATGCACAACCATTTACCAGCAAATATGACACCTCAGCTGTAACACTACTCACTGACCCTTTTGGAAGCAAAGTTTGCTGACAGTGCTACTTAAAGTGGTTCCAATTTTTTTTTTCTACAATTTTCTGATGAATGTTACAGTCTTTTGGAAAATACTCCATTCATTGAAGTACAACAATTGTTTTGTTGCATTACCCTTCACCAAACTGTGATTTATTTCTGAATTTAAGATAAGGTTCATTCCTTCATTTGTTAATGCAACACCTGGTTAGAATATTCCACAAGTGAACCTTTTTTATATAAATTGTTGGCTGGTATATGTCTTGCAAATCTCTGTGCCACTACAAAAAAAAAAAAAAAAAAAAGGAAAAAAAAAAAAAGGAAAAAAAAAAAAAAATCAAGATCAATATGCTAATTCTATTTACAATGCCAAAATGGTGAACTACAGTCATCAGTGCCATTACTTCAGATTTAAAAAATGACCTTATGTAAATGCTAAACCCAATTGCAATGAGTGACGTCCTATCACACAGTGACAAAAAATCCCAGACATTTGCTAATGCCTAATCACATCGTGGGTCCATTCCTTCCTGCAATGACGGCCCACACACATTACCATAAGCCAGAAATCACCCAGATATAGAGCAACCAATGTTAACATACCTGGCCTCATGTGTGTGTGGACACACATTTGCCACTGAGTGCCCAGATCTTTTGCACCAACAGATATTTTATTTACTCCAAACATACCATATTATTTCAATTTTCCCTTTCATTGGCTAATTCTTATGGTATGGATGCACTAAGCTAGGGCAAGCTAAAGATGATATTCACATTGACAAGAATAAGTTTGTCATCATTACAAGAATTAATCTACAGATGCAAATGATAACACCACAGATAAAGGGAAAAAAATCAAAGTTTCATTTCTATCTTGCCTTGCATACCAAAATGAAGACAATATTTGCTGAGGGATGTTGGGAGGTGGATTCCATATTGTAATGAACTACCCTTTCATCTTTCATTTCCAAACCCTCTTCATGCATCCCTTATCAAAGTACAATATTTCAGTGGCAAAATTCAACCCAAATTAATGTTCCATCATAAAGAATGATTTACAATGATTTATATAACAACGGCTGTAACAAAATTAAGGTTGATCTTTACAGTATGGACACACTCAGCTGCTATTCTTGTAGAGGATGAAAAGTTACAGTCATTGGTGTAAGAAATAATCTGCAGACATTTGTGGTAAAATCACAAATAAAGGAAAAAAACTGGGGAAAGCACTCCTCACAGGCCACTTGGTGATCTCAAGTTTCAGCTTGATCTTGCCATGCATACAAGAGTGAAGACAGTGTTTGCTACCAACCCTCCCCTTGGGCAGTACCTAAAAGGCACACCCAGTCACAAAAATTGATTGTTGAATAAAATTTGTGACATGGCATTGAGTATTTAGTCTATGGTAAGTGCGTCCATACAGTAAAAAATTTCCAAATGTGTGTGTGTGTGTTTGTGTGTGTGTGTGTGTGTGTGTGTGTGTGTGTGTGTGTGTGTGTGTGTGTGTGTGTGTGTGTGTGTGTGTGTGTGTGTGTGTGTGTGTGTGTGAGTGTGTGAGTGTGTGAGTGTGTGAGTGTGTGAGTGAGTGAGTGAGTGAGTGAGTGAGTGAGTGAGTGAGTGAGTGAGTGAGTGAGTGAGTGAGTGAGTGAATGAGTGAGTGCGTGTGGGAGTGGGAATGGGAGTGGGAATGGGAGTGGGAGTGGGAGTGGGAGTGGGAGTGGGAGTGGGAGTGGGAGTGGGAGTGGGAGTGGGAGTGGGAGTGGGAGTGGGAGTGGGAGTGGGAGTGGGAGTGGGAGAGTGGGAGTGTAAGTGTAAAGAATGAGGTTGAAAAGAATGAGCACAATTACTCTAAATGAAAATTCCAAATTCTGTGGATGATACATTGCCCTGCGGTGATCTGGAATGGTATCACTTATCATGAACGCAACATCATACTAGAGCAGGTATGATGAAGGTTTGTTGGACTTCGTAAATTTTTTTTTTTTTTTTTTTTTTTTTTTTTTTTTTTTTTTTTTTTTTTTTTTTTTTTTTTTTTTTTTTTTTTTTTTTTTTTTTTTTTTTTTTTTTTTTTTTTTTTTTTTTTTTTTTTTTTTTTTTTTTTTTTTTTTTTTTTTTTTTTTTTTTTTTTTTTTTTTTTTTTTTTTTTTTTTTTTTTTTTTTTTTTTTTTTTTTTTTTTTTTTTTTTTTTTTTTTTTTTTTTTTTTTTTTTTTTTTTTTTTTTTTTTTTTTTTTTTTTTTTTTTTTTTTTTTTTTTTTTTTTTTTTTTTTTTTTTTTTTTTTTTTTTTTTTTTTTTTTTTTTTTTTTTTTTTTTTTTTTTTTTTTTTTTTTTTTTTTTTTTTTTTTTTTTTTTTTTTTTTTTTTTTTTTTTTTTTTTTTTTTTTTTTTTTTTTTTTTTTTTTTTTTTTTTTTTTTTTTTTTTTTTTTTTTTTTTTTTTTTTTTTTTTTTTTTTTTTTTTTTTTTTTTTTTTTTTTTTTTTTTTTTTTTTTTTTTTTTTTTTTTTTTTTTTTTTTTTTTTTTTTTTTTTTTTTTTTTTTTTTTTTTTTTTTTTTTTTTTTTTTTTTTTTTTTTTTTTTTTTTTTTTTTTTTTTTTTTTTTTTTTTTTTTTTTTTTTTTTTTTTTTTTTTTTTTTTTTTTTTTTTTTTTTTTTTTTTTTTTTTTTTTTTTTTTTTTTTTTTTTTTTTTTTTTTTTTTTTTTTTTTTTTTTTTTTTTTTTTTTTTTTTTTTTTTTTTTTTTTTTTTTTTTTTTTTTTTTTTTTTTTTTTTTTTTTTTTTTTTTTTTTTTTTTTTTTTTTTTTTTTTTTTTTTTTTTTTTTTTTTTTTTTTTTTTTTTTTTTTTTTTTTTTTTTTTTTTTTTTTTTTTTTTTTTTTTTTTTTTTTTTTTTTTTTTTTTTTTTTTTTTTTTTTTTTTTTTTTTTTTTTTTTTTTTTTTTTTTTTTTTTTTTTTTTTTTTTTTTTTTTTTTTTTTTTTTTTTTTTTTTTTTTTTTTTTTTTTTTTTTTTTTTTTTTTTTTTTTTTTTTTTTTTTTTTTTTTTTTTTTTTTTTTTTTTTTTTTTTTTTTTTTTTTTTTTTTTTTTTTTTTTTTTTTTTTTTTTTTTTTTTTTTTTTTTTTTTTTTTTTTTTTTTTTTTTTTTTTTTTTTTTTTTTTTTTTTTTTTTTTTTTTTTTTTTTTTTTTTTTTTTTTTTTTTTTTTTTTTTTTTTTTTTTTTTTTTTTTTTTTTTTTTTTTTTTTTTTTTTTTTTTTTTTTTTTTTTTTTTTTTTTTTTTTTTTTTTTTTTTTTTTTTTTTTTTTTTTTTTTTTTTTTTTTTTTTTTTTTTTTTTTTTTTTTTTTTTTTTTTTTTTTTTTTTTTTTTTTTTTTTTTTTTTTTTTTTTTTTTTTTTTTTTTTTTTTTTTTTTTTTTTTTTTTTTTTTTTTTTTTTTTTTTTTTTTTTTTTTTTTTTTTTTTTTTTTTTTTTTTTTTTTTTTTTTTTTTTTTTTTTTTTTTTTTTTTTTTTTTTTTTTTTTTTTTTTTTTTTTTTTTTTTTTTTTTTTTTTTTTTTTTTTTTTTTTTTTTTTTTTTTTTTTTTTTTTTTTTTTTTTTTTTTTTTTTTTTTTTTTTTTTTTTTTTTTTTTTTTTTTTTTTTTTTTTTTTTTTTTTTTTTTTTTTTTTTTTTTTTTTTTTTTTTTTTTTTTTTTTTTTTTTTTTTTTTTTTTTTTTTTTTTTTTTTTTTTTTTTTTTTTTTTTTTTTTTTTTTTTTTTTTTTTTTTTTTTTTTTTTTTTTTTTTTTTTTTTTTTTTTTTTTTTTTTTTTTTTTTTTTTTTTTTTTTTTTTTTTTTTTTTTTTTTTTTTTTTTTTTTTTTTTTTTTTTTTTTTTTTTTTTTTTTTTTTTTTTTTTTTTTTTTTTTTTTTTTTTTTTTTTTTTTTTTTTTTTTTTTTTTTTTTTTTTTTTTTTTTTTTTTTTTTTTTTTTTTTTTTTTTTTTTTTTTTTTTTTTTTTTTTTTTTTTTTTTTTTTTTTTTTTTTTTTTTTTTTTTTTTTTTTTTTTTTTTTTTTTTTTTTTTTTTTTTTTTTTTTTTTTTTTTTTTTTTTTTTTTTTTTTTTTTTTTTTTTTTTTTTTTTTTTTTTTTTTTTTTTTTTTTTTTTTTTTTTTTTTTTTTTTTTTTTTTTTTTTTTTTTTTTTTTTTTTTTTTTTTTTTTTTTTTTTTTTTTTTTTTTTTTTTTTTTTTTTTTTTTTTTTTTACGACTGACGAAGCAATAACAGCACATTCCACAAACTCGACTTCCCCCCCAGAACGAACCGAATCATTTGTTAATTAATCAAACGTCACCACAGCTCACATGACCCGCTGGCTCACCCCCTCACAACCCTACAATTCACCCAAAGCAAACCAAACTCCTGTAACTCTTCTCTTCGGAATAACAAGAAGGTGTCAACCGGAACGTTTCTTTCTCCCTCGGTCCCTCTTCTTTAAAGTTCTGAAACTTAAAACTTGAAAAAGTTCTATTCTTTTCCTTACCTTCGTCCCGTTCGTCTCGCTGTGCAGAACCTCTTCCATGCCGTCCTGGAAAGAAAGGCTGTGCTTAGACGACACTCAGGAAAGGAAAAAAACACTAACGACACATTTTCCAACAGAGAAGACACTAACGACACGTAATTTCGCCACAATTTAAGAATAAATAAGGAGAGGCAGAGGAGAGCGAGAAACGCCTACCATCATGGCTGCAACGACACTATAAGTGAAGTAAAGGGAGTGAGAAATGTCAGGTGATCGAGGGATTCAAATGCAAATGGCTATCGAAATTTAGGTACGATAAGGGATTGAAGTGTCTATAAGGAGGAATCAAGAGGGTATTCGATTCTCTTAGAGTCTTTGCTTCCAGAGGATCACACGGCGTAAACAAACCCGGTTATTTTCACAGTGGGAGGCGTGAATCATTTTTTAAAGATTTTAATTGTAGGCTTTTTATGTTTCGCTTGGACAAATATACTGTCTTTATTCCGGTTTTTATTCACTATTTTTCTGAAATGGTCTACATGACAAAGTTTGCGTCGTAGGTTTGAGTATGTCTACCAACCTAGCACGAAAGGCGCTAAATGTAGCGCTTTGCCTCAAACGTGCACTCTTTCACGGCTAAATAAACATATCTACACGGAACTTAATGAATGCTTCGGTATAATCTTAACAGTTATGCTTTTTTTTTTTTTACGACTGAACGAAGCAATTACTTGCGGGGATTAATACGTATAACAAAAAAGGGACAAGAATCATGTAATTGCATTCATGTCTTGATTTACATGATATCCTGGTAACCTGAGCGGCTTACTTGGATTACTGGATATAGGTCTAACAGACGTTACTGAACCCTTGCGGTATTTTGTACAGGGACAATTTTATTATCAGACATTGTTATTTCGCAGTGTTCACTATTCAAAGCGTACACAATGCATGCCATATACGTGTACTATATATTTTTTTAAAGAATGTTGTATTTGTGCGCCATGAAACGGAATAGTACGTTAATGCATTTCATGACTCTAGCACCTCGACATGAGCGCCCCTCGGCCTCTGCGGGAGGAGCGACACTCGGTGAAAATACCGGCGGGTGTCAACAGACGGCCCGCAGGAAACCCGACGACCTCCTCCCCCAGCGCTGGCCTCGGCATGGGGGCTCCGGGCTCCGTTCAGAGGCTGCCTCACCACGAGCAGGTGGAATTCTGCCTCACGAGAGCTAAATATCGACAGGGGAGGAAGCTCACGGCGGTTAAGGTGTACACCGTGAACGACGAGTCCAGGTTCCTCATTTTGACGGGGATTCCGGCCATTAGGATCCGCACCGAAGTGGAGAGCCTGTGCCTGAAGTACGGCCACGTCGAGTTCATCCAGCCTCTGCCGGACTACCCCTGCGAGGCCTACACGGAGGCGGCCTTGGTCAAGTACGCCAGGGTCAAGAGTGCCTGCTTTGCTAAGGCTCAGTTAGACGGAAAGTCGTTCTACGGAGGCGTTTTGCATGTGTTCTATGCCCCAGAGTTGGAGTCTGTAGGCGACACGAGAGAGAAGCTGCAGGAGAGGCGGAAGAGCGTAGCTGCCCTGACAAGGTACGGCCAGGACCCCTCCGTCGTCAACCCTTCCAAGAAGCGTGGCGCGTTTCAGCATGGGAATTCGGCCAGATATTTGTCACGGTTAAAGCCCCAGCCAGGTGAGGAGCCTGGGCGGAGCCACGGTATCACTGAATCTTCAAGACCAGGAGGAGGCATTAATGAAGGAAACCCACTGACAAGATCTTGTAATGATGCTAAAGACCAAGAAGTATTTGAGGACATTTGCCATAGTGAAGATTCAATAGGTGTAAGTAGTAGACAGTTAATGCAGACAAATTACCCAGGCTCCAGTTCAAGTGCTACCCCAGCAGAACAAAGTGCATCTCATGGTTCCAGTGAAAAGAGAACAGCCAGTGATACTCCCTTTATAGAAAGCAATAAGAAGAAAATTAAATTATTTGGTGATAATAAAGTCCTGTTGTATAAATAAAAGAGATGCTACTTTCATTGCTACAGTATTAGGCTTGTTCATGATTGTCTGTGATTACAAGATTAGTCATTAACTTCAGTGTTTGGATTCTTTATATATATATATATCTAATTGTAAGAAATTTTTCATAATTATTTTCTGTAAAGGTTGGTCATATGAGACTTTGCAAGAAAACAACATTCAAAATTCTTCATGTATTTTGTAAATATAAATACAATACCATAACTTATCTCCATTGCCTGACAATAACATTCTCGTTTTTACTGTCCTTATCAAAGAACACCTCACACGTAATCACATTATTTTAGGAGTCATTTGCCTACTGTACTATATATATATATTTTTTTTTCATATGCCCTGCAATCTGCACAAGGTTCTTACATCCTATAATGAATGCAGCTTCCGGTCTGAACCCAACATTTCCAAATATTCAACCTATATAGTTAATGCCTTGCTGGCTTATACAAAAACAACCTTGCAGTGGAAATCTTATTTATAATTTTGCGTAACTTTTATCTTAATAGGCCTACTGTAAAAAAAAAAAAAAAAAATGAATAAGACAGTGATACATTAAATACAACTTCACTAAAATGTGCAACGCAATACTTACATTCTCCATGGCCTCACCCGTTTCTCACAGAAAGTAATGAATAATAATATATACGGAAATAGCCTAAAGGATTAAATAATAGACAGAAGAGTAGTGGGGGAGGGAAAACAAATCAATACACAAATATGCATATATAACATTGATTATCATCTCTTTCACAAACAATCCAATTATTTACATGCAAAGATGAGATACATTTTTAAGAAAAAAAAAAAAAAAAAAAAAAAAATTTGTGAACCTTATATCATCAAAATTGACCCTCTTGTCTAAATACTGAAAAGAAAGTACAAGGAAATTTACTTTGCTTGGTTTTCCAAAATGATCATTGCAAAACTAAACTTCACTGATGTACAAGAAGTTACTGGTACACTAATTAAATTTATTAAGATTATTTTAAGGTATCCACCAACAAAAAGTCAAACAATTCAATATCAGTGTCAATTCTCTCCCCCTCACACTCTAGTCCTACTCATAAAGACATTCTTTTCATATCATGTGTAGTAAGTAGCTCCTGCTCTGTTCCTATCTACAATACAAAGTCGATGTCTTGCAGAAAACAATCTGTAGAATTCACTGAAGTCTAGAGTTTTGGAAGAAAATTCCTTTTTGTCTGTGTTTGTTTGTGTGTCTTCTTTTTCTTTTGTAACAAATCCAGCCACAACAGTACACAGCAGTTCTAACACAAATAACATGATACCCACTATTAACCCATTGCCGCCGGGGAATATTAACAAAAAATGGGGAAAATGCTGTGCCTATTTTCTATATTTTTTTTGTTAAATGTTTGCCCATAGATGGCTCTGTTAGCGCCTGATTTGAAATGGCGGGAAAAATGTATTTTTCACTAGTGCCATGAATATCGATGGTGTTATTTTTATCATAAACATTATAATTTTTATAATGTTTTTTAACATTAGTAACAGTAAAATAAGATAACGTAAAATATTTCGTAAATCCAAGAAAAGGGTGAACGGGCGAGAGAGGCGGTACTCGTAACTGGCTCATTGGGGAGTTAGTACAAGTGTAGCCATCTATGTTTGAAAACAATCTAACAAGTAATCTCACAGTGGGCATGGCATGGCATGGTATGCCCGGCGGGAATGGGTTAAAAATGTATAGAACATGTACTTCTCATTATATTCTATGTTCTATAGATTTTTAACAATTACAAGGCATACAAGTAAAACATCTTGTAATATTACACTGTAAAGTACCATTTTTCTATCTTCTCAAATGCTCAGGACTTTATTTTGATCTATAGCATCTCTTAAAGTTCTCACAATGGACTTACAGAAGACACTCATTAAAAAAAGGTCATTATCAGTTAAATTACACATATCACCATAATTTTTGAAGATACCTTCTGAAAGCAAAACAATACACTATCAACAGCTCTACAATAAAAAAATTATCATACTTCTGTATTTCCCATGAATATCAAATTCTAAATATAACTAATATCATATTTCTGAGTAAAAATTTACACTATAGATTACAAACTGCTAATATTAAAACTGCGAAATACCTGTACTTACTAATTAATCTTAATACTTTCAACACTATAAAAGTTATTTCACTGGAGGGACTGAAGTGATTAATAAAGTTAGTGGAATTTTGAACAAAAAACATTTGAAACAGTATTTCTATTACCACTAAAAAAAATTCACTTAAGTAACATTCAGAACACCATGCATAAAATTGCAAAAATAAAGTTAGTGGAATTTTGAACAAAAAAACATTTGAAACAGTATTTCTATTACCACTAAAAAAAATTCACTTAAGTAACATTCAGAACACCATGCATAAAATTGCAAATACTGTACCAATACAATACAAGTCAACCATCTTTAATCCAGCACCAATGGGATCTGATGCATACCAAATTAGCAAAAACAATACACTATCACAGCTCTACAATAAAAAAATTATCATACTTCTGTATTTCCATGAATATCAAATTCTAAATATAACTAATATCATATTTCTGAGTAAAAATTTACACTATAGATTACAAACTGCTAATATTAAAACTGCGAAATACCTGTACTTACTAATTAATCTTAATACTTTCAACACTATAAAAGTTATTTCACTGGAGGGACTGAAGTGATTAATAAAGTTAGTGGAATTTTGAACAAAAAACATTTGAAACAGTATTTCTATTACCACTAAAAAAAATTCACTTAAGTAACATTCAGAACACCATGAAGGATTAATAAAGTTAGTGGAATTTTGAACAAAAAAACATTTGAAACAGTATTTCTATTACCACTAAAAAAAATTCACTTAAGTAACATTCAGAACACCATGCATAAAATTGCAAATACTGTACCAATACAATACAAGTCAACCATCTTTAATCCAGCACCAATGGGATCTGATGCATACCAAATTAGCAAAAACATCACATCACAGAAAGATTTCCCATGTATGATAGCTGGTAAATGTTCATCAGATGCTTTCAAAACAACCCTTTTCCCATAGTTATTCTAGTAGTATTCTATTCATAACCACTGAAATCTGACACAGCAGTTACAACTGTCCCCTACAAAGTTGTATTAATGTGCCAGTGGTTATTTCACCAGGAAAAAGATACTGACACAATAATAATCCCTGTTCTTAACTCGTCTGTAGCATGAATATGATCATGGCAGTGTAAACACTGCAGAGACTCACTCCTATTCTTCGTCCAGTCTCAGGAAAGAAAAAATGGCAACACACCTAGACTCTACAGTACTACAATCAAGTCTCTTTGAGAAAAAAAAAAAAAAAAAAAATGGTGTTCAGGTAGCAACTTTCAATAACACAATAAAAATAATCTATGAGTTTTAAAATGACAAAATTTATAAACAAGTATTAAGATTAAGCTAACCAGAATAAAAAAGACTTGGTGAACCAGATACTCCAGAGTTTGGGGTGAGCTGCTTGTTTTTCTTTCTTGAAAATGGATGAAGTATAACTTCAAAGTCAACATTATGAGCAAGCAAAATATTTCATGACTCAGAAGGGAATGGCAGTACAGACAGTGCAATTAGCATTTTTCATTGCAAATTCCCAACTGCCTTGTAGATAATTTTACTGAATTTTTGAAATGTGTTCAGTAGGTACTTTAACTCCATTAGACACATTAATTCAGGATATGAAAGTACAGTGGCCCAAGAAATTGAATATCAGTGCCAGCAAACAAACCAGATTACAGTGGATTAGAAGTGGTTGTCTTGTAGTAATAAATACCCTAATAAAAATTAAAGCTGAAGTATCTTCAACCTGAACCAATGTGAGTGGGTTTACAATCAACCAAAACTCTACACTTAATTTGAATAAACCGAGTAACCACCAACACCTTTTTCTTTAAACAGATAAAAATAAGTAAAGAAAGCATTCACTTACAAAAAAAATACAGTCAAGCATTTTTCAAGAAATCCTCCTAATGTCACATTGTTAACATTTACTCAAGTGCAAGGATGACCAGCATCCAGGTATGTTACATTCACTATTGAGAAAAAAATGCAACAGTGGTTTTAGTTCTCACTATGAGATACACATATAAACACTACCACACACAGCCATTATAACTCCTATGATTACAATATACATATATGATGCTAGTCAGCGAATAATCTTTTCCACCTAAGTTCTTCTTCTCCCAAAAATGTATCCACGAAAGGTATGTCATTTATCATTTTCTTCATCATATGCAACACTGTCCAAATATATTCATATCCTATGACAAATAAGGATTGCTAAATCAACCTAAACTGTTTATTCTTTCTTTCAATCACATTCCCTGGTATTTTTGTGTCACATAATCCAATTAAGATATACAACCTACACTAATGCATTTCATGACTCGCTAGGACACCGCTGCAGAGCCGAATCCGACCATCTATGAAACAATGTAGTATCAGGTGGCTTAGGGATCATAGGCAGTTCTGTGAAAGAAACAACCTTAACAGAAGGCAAAGCAAATCTAGGTGAAACAACTTCAACAATATAACAAGTCATTAAATAGAGTAAAAAAACAAAAACAAAATAATATTAACATATATATGTATAAAATCCTTACAGTTATTCAATTATCAATACAATCTCCTTTGATAACTTCATATAATTATCATTCTTAATGATACACACTACTCAAGAATAGATGAATAATCAATGTATTATGACATCAAGCATAATACACATAGCATTGGGTAAAATTAATTTCACTATCTGAATCTCACTTAATTTCCTCTTTTTTTTTCTTTACTTTTACACACACTATCCTTCTGAATTCTTTCATGTGTTCTAAGAAAAAATAAATAAAAATAAAAAACAAAAATCATAAACAATTATTGGAATGCTTTATTCATGCTTTGCCATAAAAGGACAACCTTTTTGCAGATGGCATCAGAATAGCTAAATACAATAGCTACAAAAACTGGATAACAAATTAACAAGTTTTTTCTCACTCCACATTTTACAAAAAATAAGTGTGTTATGACCTGACAGTGTATGCTTTACATATAAGTACTATCATTCCCCTTATTTCTCTAACTTGTGTTGTGCTTGTGGAAAGAGACAGAGAATAAAAAAGAACAAGGTAAAAGGTGGGAGGGAGGGAGAGAGGGAGAGGGAGAGGGAGAGAGACAGAGACAGAGACAGAGAGAGAGAGAGAGAGACAGAGACAGAAAGAGAAAGAGAGAGAAGAAACTGAATCTGCTAGAGTATTCACTGAAAGTGTAAAGCAATATTTCAAAAGATTTATCGAAAAATAAAGTTGTATTACAGGAAAGAAATGCATTAAAGTCATGATCACCATATTTGAAGTGTCCCTGAGGGATGATACTAATTTGCATAGGGATATCATGTACATATGCAAATGAAAAATGGGAAATTTAGGAAAAGGGGGGGAAGACAGTTTCATCACACATCATTATATCTCAACCTCTTAGAATGATAATTAAAGAAAAAGAAGAAATCATATAGTCTCTTTTGACACAGAGTTCAACATCAGAAAATAGCAGGGAGGGAGCACTATCGAACACATCAAATAAACCAAAAAGGAAAATAAAATTAAAAAACAGACATAGTTCTTCCAATAATGATTTTTCATTATATCCCCCTAAGAAAAATTAGTATTGCTTCATATATGGTTATAGCATACATGTGCTTCTGTATGTTTGGCTGCATATAAATGTCTATGTCTGTAAAACTATACACCACAGATTCTATAAGCAAATGTTAAGATAATTATAAAAAAACATAAATAAATATTCAAAATTAAGAGGGAGAAAACCAAATTAAGGGCGAGGGACACATGAATAACCTACACCAACTCACTCTACATAAAAATCTATCAACCCACTGTTACATGTGTGCACTGTCCACAATTATTTTTTTTTCTTTTTACATATAGATGATATCACAAGCAATTACAAGCCTTATGTGACCTATTACTGTTGGTATTACTACTAAGGTTGTTATTTTTTATTGTTGTTGATGGTGTTTAGTATATGTTGCTGTTATCATTGTTGTTGTTGTTTGTTATTATTATTACTTAAAATTATCATCATAATCCTTGTTATCATCTATTTCATTATAATTATAATAGCAACATAATTTTTTTAATCCCTAAAAAATCATGGAATAGCATAAATTGGTAAAGTTTGGCATGCCTGGTATTTGACTATTTGATGTCTAAGTGCTTGTGGAGCCACCTATGTGTACAAATAAATAAATTAATAAAACAAAACTACAGTGGACGGTACATGCACTAGCATCATAGGATTAAAATAGGATCATGTTTGATAAAGTATCATGGTCCCCTCCCTTTAGGTAAACAATGGTCATGCCCTTTGAGAGAAAAGAGCAAGTTTGTTTATATCTTAAGCAACAGTGGTGACACAGCAAACCAATAATACTTAGAATGTATTCTTAACAAATATGACAAGAGAGCATATGAAAGTATTCAGCATTTGGTTGGAGTATTTGGTGTAGTGAGATGATTTATGACAGCAAAGTCTTTATCCCTCACATATCTGGTCTTAAAAGTGCCACTAACAACAAAGTGAGCAAATTCTTCCCCTTTTACCTTATAACCCTTAAATATTAGCCATAAGGGTCATATGGTAACAGACAAGGGTCATGTTTTGAATCTAAATAGAGATCGACTGGGAGATTTTCACAGCAAGATAGGGCATTTCTGTATGTCTCAATGTGAAGTCATCCCTAGAAGTCCCTCATTCACACTAGACAGTGGCCTTCTGGAAGTCTGGCTGGAACATCAGCCTGTGGTATTAAACCCCTGTCCTCCACACTCAGAGGTACCTTCTAACCCCCTGGCCAATGGCAGTGACTATAATTATTTATCACAATACATTAAGGAAGGACTTCAAATAGGATTTGTTCACTGCTACCGTAAAGTCTGAGTGTTCTTGTGTAGCATGCCAGAAGCTAACCATCAGGCTAAGTTACAAGCTATAAATTCCTTCTCTTCTCTATGAATATTTCATATACAAGGTAAACAAATATAACTATTCCTCTCTATTCACTCTAATAAACTTCCATGCTATCTTACACATTCATCTGTTGCCAGCAAAAATCCTATCATAATCTATGCTACCACTAAAAACTGTTCTTATTGTCACTTCTACTTTTCAGAGACATGAGCAAAGTCCCATTTCATCTCAAAGAAGATGAATATCTAGCATATTCCCCAACTACTCGTTCATTAATCGATTGTCATTAACGTATACCCTACTATACGATATGCAACATTGTTACAAAAGAGTGATACAAGTAAAGCAGGGTTTGTTAATCAGACACCTGTAGTTTTTCTGGATGTCAAAATACAGCTGTGACTGAGATGTGGATATGTCATAGACCAAACACTGAAATTTCAATTCTGTAGTGTTCTGAACAATCTCTTCAGAATGTTAGGCCACTGTATTCAGTGTTTGAAAGTCCAAATTTGCTTTTACATTCCCAAGAATTAAAAAAGAATGAGGAAATTATTTTATATTCGTCCACCAGATATAGCCTTTCACAATACAGGTGAAGCTCTCAATGCACTCAGCTTGATTGATTTTCATGAACAAAAACAGCACATCATACTGTCACCACCAGAGAGAATATGAGAGGACAGCAAGATAGTGAGAGATACAACAGTATAATGCATGTACTCCATAGTTCCATATTTTTTTCAATCTCATTAAAACCAACATAAAAATCAAAGTACCACAGGATGTTTGGTTAGCTTGGGGATGCCACCTGCTGTGCTACATCCTCCAAGGCTGCAAGAACCACCTGTGGCAAATGGTGCCGCATCATGAAAGGCGAGATGAGCAGCTGCGTGAACTCGTTTATGTCACCCCATCGGTATTCCCACTCGCTGCTCACAACCTCGAGCCTAACAAAACAAAGAAAGTTAAATTTCATTAAACATCTTCAATAGTTATCTTTCTAACACAATATTTTCTCCCTTATTCTTTTTTGTCTCATTTATGTAATATTTTTTCCAAACCCAAACTCTTATCTCCTATTCACCTCAATCTAGTCATCTAATATCCTTTTATATCATTATCTTGTACATATCAATAAAACAAATGGAGAAATATCTGAGTTAAGAAATGGCCACATCCTAATTGGGATGGTTTGGCTCATTTAAGGGTAACATGTGTCAAACATTATTACATGAAGTCAAATCATTGGCCCTTTACCTTTCTTCCTCAGGCAAGCTTGGGTTGCAGTAGAGGACTCTTCCCGGAAGATAGAGTGGTGTCTCTGTGTGTCGTGGCACTTGACACCTTCTTGAGTCGTCGTCGGAGAAGGTCACCCGCACATCCTCCATGCTCTCCTGCATGATTTTGGGTGAATGCTATAAACAATGACAAAACAGCATTATAGGTGGTTGCCATCAAAGACATGTATTTACCTCCATTTGACAAGACTAACCAAAGCATTAACTAAATACAATATTAAATTCAAAATATGGAAAAGAATAGACACAGAATGTATTTTTCAAAAGAAATAGTAACAAAATATACATATACATATAAAGGCACTTTAGATATCAGCATGCAAAGCTTAGGGAAGGTAAAACACTACCATGAAACAGTAATAATCAAATTATATGAAACACTGCATTCTATCTAGTTCCTCTGGAAAACTGTTTCCTACTAGAGTTATGAAAACTCAAATTTTGTAAAATTTAGAAACAACATAATAAAATTAATTCACAAGTTCTAAGCAAAGACACTGCATTAATTACTGGACAGTAGCATATATCAACATTCATAATGTTACTTACACTCTTTGGCCTTATCATTTTTTTAACTGTTTCTTTAAGGCACTAGAAATAATAGTAACCTCTGATCTTCTATTTGTGAGATCACAAAATTAGATCAAATTACTGACTTTGTTGTGCCTTATTCTAGTACATTTGGTTGTTGGTTATTGGCCTTATAGATATGCGAGACAAAAAGCCTGAAGGATACATACCAGCTGAGAAAAGAAGCAAAAGCACTTCAAGCCAAATCTCCAACCATGCAGTTCCAACAGTGTTATACATTTAAGATAAGAACAACACAATAAAGCAATAACAATCATAAAGAATTGCTTACAAAACAAGAAACTATGCAGTACTCACAATACAGAGATAACAAGAAAAATCTGATTACCAATCAGCTGTTTACCTTCACAAAGTTACTAGCCTATGATGACCAAATTAATAAACAATAAACAACAAAGAAAACTAAGTCACAATAATTTTTACATTTTACCTCACATTAAAGATATGTCAACCCTCTGTCTACATATAAATATGTCATTAATTACCATTACTCTTGCAAACAAAGCCTTTTCTCTTTTTCCTTTTCTTTTCCTTTACATCATCAAATACTTTTAAACAATCCGAAAGTAAATTCCTCCCATTTCACTGTTTATGGAAAAAAAACAGACTAATTTTGCCCAAGGGCTAGTGCAACTTTCTACAGGTGTTTCACGCAACATCATATTCACCTGGTCTTCATGAAATCCAAAAACTGGGTTGAACTTCAGGTGGGAGAAGTAAAGCAAAGATTATGAAAAAGTTTTCTCTGTAAAACAGTGGCAATTCCAATCATGTACAATAAATGCATCTAACTGGATTGAGCTTATTGATGACTTATTAATCCATGCAAGGCAAGTGGACTGTGTAAAATATATACATCAGAATATATACAGTCAGGTAAAAAATAATAGAAGTGAAGGTACTTCCCCTGTTAGAAGAGAAACAAATATCAATGATTATGAAATATGCAAACAAAAACTCAACATAGAGTCTGAACAAGAGTTTAACATATAGTGAAACCATGTAAATACATTATGAGGCTCTCCATGTATCCTGATAAATCATACTTTCAATTGTTTGTTTGAGTTCTTCTATGAACTAAATTCTCTTTCTGAGTTCTGGAAGCATTACTCCAAAAGCACTAACCATGGTAGGAAAATGAATAAAGTACCTCTATATAATTAAAGCAAAAAATGTACTTACCACAGTTTACTACATGGATTAAAAGAGCAAATCACAAGGAAAATTTGTCATTCAATTGCATGCTCAAAAAAAGGAAAAAAAAAAAAAAAAAGTTTAATAATAACAATGATGATGATACAATAATAATAATAATAATAAAAATAATAATAATAATAATAATAATAATAATAATAATAACAACAATGAAAACAACAATAACAATAATAATAATAACAATAATAATAATAATAACAATAATAATAATAATAACAATAATAATAATAATAATAATAATAATAATAATAATAATAATAATAATAAATAATAATAACAATAATAACAATAACAATAATAATAATAATAATAACGATAATAATAACAATAATAATAATAATAATAATAATAATAATAATAATAATAATGATAATGATAATGATAATAATAATAATAATAATAACAATGATAGTGACGATGATGAAGGGACTGTGTCACTGCATGTTTAAAACAATATAATAATAATCAACTGAAATCTTCAAAATAAGAATAAAAACATCTCTAAATATTGCTTTCATTTCCCTCTTTTCATTTGATGTCAACTGCAAAGCTCAACACTTCAGGAGAGGCATGAATGAGTATGACCCTGGTTAGCCAACTCAATGAAGAACTAGATAAGAACCCTATAGCAGCCCTAGTAACAGAAAACCTTTTGCATATTGACCAGTGGAGTGCAAGCAGGGGCACAGGGCACAACACAGCACTCTCTGAGCTGTATGTAAGGCAGGCTAGACACGTCATCGCAAACTTACTTGCACATCCAGAGAATTACCTAAGCCACAAAAAATTCAAGTATAATATAATAAACAGGTGATGCTAGACTATGCATGCATATGTAAAGCATTGTCCCTCGTGTCACTCATCTCATAGAGGACTAGGATGTGAGAAGAGAGGTAAAAAAAACAAACTACCAGACAGGAAGAGGTGTAAACACACCCAATAAATCAATATCTCACAGGAAGGTATTGGGCATGTGCCAATCTAGTCACAAGCCATCACACCATTTGGATCTCATTGGCAAGAAAGCAACTGAAGATAAAGAGAATTATTACAAAAAACATAATACACATGCCATGATGGTGTACTAGTAAGAAGTATGAAAACATCCTTGACTTCAGTAAAAACAAAACAAGCTCCATTTATAAGAGGAGAAAACAATACATATCACATAATGGTGAATCAGTGTCAGAAATAAATAGTGAGTCCTTTATACAAATGACATAGTAAACACAGCCTCCAAATGGAGCAAATATAGTATCACCACATACATGGAGGAAGGTGATGTACAATGCAATTGCCCAGTCTATGTATTCCTGACAATAGTAAGAAGCACTCTCATGCCTAATAGAAAAAAATAGGTAGGTCACATGACAATGTACATGGGTATCAAGAGTAGAACAGCTGTAAGATAACAGGATGTAAAGTAGATGTAAAGGTGCTTCATATTGCATCACTACACCTATACAAAAACTGTATAATCATTAACTAATGGGATGAGGACTGTCCTGCCCCTGATAAAACCAAAGAGGAACGGGAGGAGGTAAAGAAAGGGAGGCAGCAAAGCCGGAGCAATTGAGAGAGAAAGAACAGGAGTGTTATCTTTCCTTATTTTGCAATTGGAATGAATCACTGGTAAATGAGAGGTAGCAAAAACACACGGACGGGGGAAGGAACAACAACAACAACAACAACAACAACAACAACAACAACAATAACAACAACAACAAACCGAAACATACAAACATAAAAAGAGAGAAACTAACAACAGAGTAGAGTAACCAAAGGAGTACACTCCCTTCCCCTCTCAAATACACAGAAAATGCTCATGACTATTCTACCCTAGCAAGAACCCCCCCCCCCTCCCAGCAATAGTTGAAAAAACACATCCTATTGCTCAAACACAAGGGTAGTAAAAAAAAAAACATGAGGGAAGATAAGGGACCAACAAAAAACACCAAAAAGACATCAGACTACATTCTTGACTTACCAGAAAATATGGCAATATAGACTTTAACAAATAATAATGCCAAAAAATACAAAATGGTTTCTTAGTGTTACAAAGAAAGGGCAAGGAATGCTACTATTGCACGTGAGTAGTCACGCACAACAGGGTGATGACACAATCCATAGGAATATCATCCAGTGTATCAGAAAATCACCCAGCAGCATTGGGTTAACACATTCCTAACAGGCATCAAGACTTTACTGTTAATTTTTGGCACATCTAAGCCTGACTAAATGCACTAGAACATATGGGAAGTTACACTTATAAAAATATACAGTTTTAAAATCAACTGTAAGTGGCAGTATCTGTCATTGTGACGGACATATATCTGGTCATTCAATAATACTGACAACTGTTTACCTTTTACTTCACAAAAATCAAGCATACTGAAGACCTCTAGTTTGCCAGGGCAAGATTATCAACTTTAGATTCATGAACCATAACTATATTATTAGTAAACCAGCATAAAAATTACTATTACTAATATTATAACTAATACTACTTCTACTACTAATCTGTTTGCTACTGCTATTGCTACTGCTATCACTACTACTACTACTGAAGATAGTGATGTTGACATTAAAGGAAGTTCTTTTTCATGGTGACATACAACATTGTGCTCACATTTTGACAGGCAAATCAATGAAAGCAGATCATGTTTTTTGTAACTACTTAAGAGTTCTATTTGCTTTTTGTTCATTTCTTCAAGTTTTCATAATTTCAGCACCAAAAATGTTTGAATTGCACATTTGTGTTAGAATACACAAATGCAGACAAATTATACAACAATTACATAATAACTCTAATACAACCACAGCAAGATAGACAAATGAAGTGACCAAAATACTCCATGTTCTCTGGTCTGATGTCTCAAAACACAAAAAACTAACTGCCAAAGCTTCCTTATTGCTGCCTATGGGCTACCTTCATGACTGCCTGTATCACAAAATATCATATATATAGGAACATTCACTTTCAGGTAGGTAAAATCTAGCAACTCAACATGGACTCTGGTGTACTCCAATTTGTCAAGTCTCTTTTTATCCCAATCAACTTATACACTACAAAATTTACCCACAATCCTATCCACTACAATCTAGAAAGACCTGTCAAAAACTAGCTGCATTTTACCTGTGAGCATTTTCATTAGAAATGAGATGCACAGCCTCCTCTAATATATCTCATTCAGTTTGGTAAGTTTCCATTAGCCACACCTATTATATCACCCCCTATACCCACACTCCCCTTGCAGGCGCTCCTCTGACCTTCACCAATGATTTCACTGTTCTTATGATTAACATGTATTGAGGGTGAGATAGAAGTTCTGGGTCAGTAGCCATAAGAAAAATTGAAAATAATGCTTAACCACTACCCTAACTAAGAATACATTCAAACATTCAGACTGAAGGCATAAGGCAACATCTTAATTAGAGTCTTAACTAAGGTTAAAATATCCTGCTATATGCTACACTGAAGCAACTATTTTTTCCTAAATTGCCTCTATCAGATGAGTAAACATGGAAAATGGGCTGTAGTAAGTGAGAAGATTTTTAATTCAATAATCAACATATTTTCACTGAGAAATCTGATATAATGTCAATAAGTTGTGTATTTATCTAATGGCTAGTGGTAGCGCGGGCGTGTGTGTGTGTGTGTGTGTGTGTGTGTGTGTGTGTGTGTGTGTGTGTGTGTGTGTGTGTGTGTGTGTGTGTGTGTGTGTGTGTGTGTGTGTGTGTGTGTGTGTGTGTTTGTTGTGTGTGTGTGTGTATTTGTTGTGTGTGTGTGTGTATTTGTTGTGTGTGTGTGTGTGTATTTGTTGTGTGTGTGTGTGTTTGTTGTGTGTGTGTGTGTTTGGTGTGTGTGTGTGTTTGTTGTGTGTGTGTGTGTGTTTGTTGTGTGTGTGTGTGTGTGTGTTTGTTATGTGTGTGTGTGTGTTTGTTGTATGTGTGTGTGTGTGTTTGTTGTGTGTGTGTGTGTTTGTTGTGTGTGTGTGTGTGTGTTTGTTGTGTGTGTGTGTGTGTGTTTGTTGTGTGTGTGTGTGTGTGTTTGTTATGTGTGTGTGTGTGTTTGTTATGTGTGTGTGTGTGTTTGTTGTGTGTGTGTGTGTTTGTTGTGTGTGTGTGTGTGTTTGTTGTGTGTGTGTGTGTTTGTTGTGTGTGTGTTTGTTGTGTGTGTGTGTGTGTTTGTTGTGTGTGTGTGTGTGTGTGTGTGTTGTGTGTGTGTGTGTGTGTTTGTTGTGTGTGTGTGTGTGTTTGTTGTGTGTGTGTGTGTGTTTGTTGTGTGTGTGTGTGTTTGTGTTTGTTGTGTGTGTGTGTGTGTTAGTTTTTGTTGTGTGTGTGTGTGTGTTTGTTGTGTGTGTGTGTGTGTGTTTGTTGTGTGTGTGTGTGTGTGTTTGTTGTGTGTGTGTGTGTGTGTTTGTTGTGTGTGTGTGTGTGTTTGTTGTGTGTGTGTGTGTGTTTGTTGTGTGTGTGTGTGTGTGTGTGTGTGTGTGTGTGTGTGTGTGTGTGTGTGTGTGTGTGTGTGTGTGTGTGTGTGTGTGTTTGTTGTGTGTGTGTGTGTGTGTGTGTGTTTGTTGTGTGTGTGTGTGTGTGTGTGTGTGTGTGTGTGTGTGTGTGTGTGTGTGTGTGTGTGTGTGTGTGTGTGTGTGTGTGTGTGTGTGTTTGTTGTGTGTGTGTGTATTTGTTGTGTGTGTGTGTGTTTGTTGTGTGTGTGTGTGTTTGGTGTTTGTTGTGTGTGTGTGTGTGTTTGTTGTGTGTATGTGTGTGTGTTTGTTATGTGTGTGTGTGTGTTTGTTGTGTGTGTGTGTGTGTGTTTGTTGTGTGTGTGTGTGTGTTTGTTGTGTGTGTGTGTGTGTTTGTTGTGTGTGTTTGTTGTGTGTGTTTGTTGTGTGTGTGTGTGTTTGTTGTGTGTGTGCTGTGTGTGTATTTGTTGTGTGTGTGTGTGTTTGTTGTGTGTGTGTGTTTGTTGTGTGTGTGTGTGTTTGTTGTGTGTGTGTGTTTGTTGTGTGTGTGTGTGTGTTTGTTGTGTGTGTGTGTGTGTTTGTTGTGTGTGTGTGTGTGTTTGTTGTGTGTGTGTGTGTGTGTGTGTTTGTTATGTGTGTGTGTGTGTTTGTTGTGTGTGTGTGTGTGTTTGTTGTGTGTGTGTGCGTGTTTGTTGTGTGTGTGTGCGTGTTTGTTGTGTGTGTGTGTGTTTGTTGTGTGTGTGTGTGTGTTTGTTGTGTGTGTGTGTGTTTGTTGTGTGTGTGTGTGTGTTTGTTGTGTGTGTGTGTGTGTTTGTTGTGTGTGTGTGTGTGTTTGTTGTGTGTGTGTGTGTTTGTTGTGTGTGTGTGTGTTTGTTGTGTGTGTGTGTTTGTTGTGTGTGTGTGTGTTTGTTGTGTGTGTGTGTGTGTTTGTTGTGTGTGTGTGTGTGTTTGTTGTGTGTGTGTGTGTGTTTGTTGTGTGTGTGTGTGTGTTTGTTGTGTGTGTGTGTGTGTTTGTTGTGTGTGTGTGTGTTTGTTGTGTGTGTGTGTGTTTGTTGTGTGTGTGTGTGTTTGTTGTGTGTGTGTGTGTTTGTTGTGTGTGTGTGTGTTTGTTGTGTGTGTGTGTTTGTTGTGTGTGTGTGTGTGTTTGTTGTGTGTGTGTGTGTGTGTGTGTGTGTGTGTGTGTGTGTGTGTGTGTGTGTGTGTGTGTGTGTGTGTGTTGTGTGTGTGTGTGTGTGTGTGTGTGTGTGTGTGTGTGTTGTTGTGTGTGTGTGTTTGTTGTGTGTGTGTGTGTTGTGTGTGTGTGTGTGTGTGTGTGTGTGTGTGTGTGTGTGTGTGTGTGTGTGTGTGTGTGTGTGTGTGTGTGTGTGTGTGTGTGTGTGTGTGTGTGTGTGTGTGTGTGTTTGTTGTGTGTGTGTGTGTGTTGTGTGTGTGTGTGTGTGTGTGTGTGTGTGTGTGTGTGTGTGTGTGTGTGTGTGTGTGTGTGTGTGTGTGTGTTGTGTGTGTGTGTGTGTGTGTTGTGTGTGTGTGTGTGTTTGTTGTGTGTGTGTGTGTGTTTGTTGTGTGTGTGTGTGTGTTTGTTGTGTGTGTGTGTGTGTTTGTTGTGTGTGTGTGTGTGTTTGTTGTGTGTGTGTGTGTGTTGTGTGTGTGTGTGTGTGTGTTTGTTGTGTGTGTGTGTGTGTGTGTTGTGTGTGTGTGTGTGTGTTTGTTGTGTGTGTGTGTGTGTTTGTTGTGTGTGTGTGTGTGTTTGTTGTGTGTGTGTGTGTGTTTGTTGTGTGTGTGTGTGTGTTGTGTGTGTGTGTGTTGTGTGTGTGTGTGTGTGTTGTTATGTGTGTGTGTGTGTGTGTGTGTGTGTGTGTGTGTGTGTGTGTGTGTGTGTGTGTGTGTGTGTGTGTGTGTGTGTGTGTGTGTGTGTGTGTGCGGGCGCGTGCTGTGTGTGGGGGTGAGCGTGCTGTGTGTGTGGGTGTGCATGCTGTGTGTGTGAGTGTGCGTGCTGTGTGTGTGCTGTGTGTGTGGGTGTGTGTGCTGTGTGTGTGGGTGTACGTGCTGTGTGTGTGGGTGTGCATGCTGTGTGTGTGGGTGTGCGTGCTGTGTGTGTGGGTGTGCGTGCTGTGTGTGTGGGTGTGCGTGCCGTGTGTGTGGGTGTGCGTGCTGTGTGTGTGGGTGTGCGTTCTGTGTGTGTGTGTGTGTGTGTGTGTGTGTGTGTGTGTGTGTGTGTGTGTGTGTGTGTGTGTGTGTGTGTGTGTGTGTGTGTGTGTGTGTGGTGTATGGTGTGTGTGTGTG